CAGCCTGACCACGAAGGGTAAGCAGCTAAGCACATTACATCACATAGTAAGGATAGTAATGTAGCAAAACCCAATGCATTGATCATTAAACCATCCCCAAAACAGAAATGGGTGGGTACCAACTACCAACCGTCAAAAATTGAGGTCTATGATTGGGTTTGCCGTAGTTATCGTAGTCGTAGTTTAATTACCATGAATTACCACATTACTCCGGACAGTATGAACAGTATTGAACAGTATGAACAAAGCTTTGCATTCCTGCCGGAAATGCCCAAACAACAGCGGGGCTTCAACATCTTCAACTCCAACAGCTGCGGCCGCCTCAGCGGTGCAAAGTTCCAGCCCCATCTGCCAACGCCAGGCCTTTCCACACGCGCTGACGCAGGCGCTGCAAGTGATGTCATTGGGCTCCAGCCCATGGCCCATCCGCGACAGCACATCCAAGGATCTTCGCCACTGCCAAGACGTGCAGCAAGCGCTAATCACCGTGTTGAAGCCTGTGCCAAGCCACGGAGCCAAGCTATGCATCCCCGAACTGAAACACGTGCACACCTACACCTCTGAAAAGAAACACCTGCGACAGCATACACGGTATACAGATGTATACAGTATACAGTATGCACGAGAGATGTCAAAGTCTGGTGAGACATGAGACATGCGAACTTGGATTGAAAGTACATGAGAGTGCCATAGACAACTCGGATCACAGGCAGGGGCGACTCGGTATGTCCATGGCAGGGGCGAACTCAGGCGAACTCAGTTCCAAGTGGCTGATGTGATTGGCGCTTGCCCGCAGCAAAGGCACAGCTGACAGAAGATTTAGGGCCAGGTGCCAACGACCAGTGAAGGTGCAGGTGTCCATGAGAATGTTGATGCTGATGATGTCAGGAATGACCCTCCTGATTTCGGGCGGTTGATACATGTTGATACACCATGCTTCGGCGACACCATTCTCACTATGAACAAGAAAGTGAAATATATGGCTATGGATCAATACCTATACATACCATTTTTAGGGGGATGAACATCCATTTACCAGCTATTTTGATGTTCACCAGGGGTACAAGGTTTTGACACACTGCCATATGAATGGAATGGACATGAATTCTGCAAGCATGTCTATGCTGCTTTTGAATTCGCATTTCTGGATTGAACTGGTTCTCGCTCTCCTCTTCTGCATTGTTGCAAAGAGCTGGAATGCCAAGGCCAGGTTGCCTCCAGTCCTTACAACCAGGGCTGGATCTTGATGGTGCATTTCATGCAAATCTGCAAATCAAGTTGCAAGACAAGTGCACATTCAGAGCATTGTCACATAGTGACCAATCCCTTACCCGTAATACAAATATATCAAATATTACCCAGAAACCCTGGTTGACTATCGGATCTATTCATTTTGGGGTCTCAAACGCTGGGGGTATCGATATGTATCAATTTCTGGGATCAAAACTCTCTAACTATGCCATGCTTCTCACATGAGCTCAGGGCACAGTTGAAGTTCACCACATTTGGCACCAGCGACGATGTCACCATTGCTGACAGCAAGTCCACTGCGACCTCGCGGTGCTGTTCCCTAAGCCTTTCCACGTCCGTCTATCTAATATTACCTATTTACAGTACGCATACCCTACGTATATCTAGTCTATATCTATGTACTTTGTATGTACTGTTAATGTATATGCTATGTATGTACTATTGATGTACTATGTATGTACTATGTTTGTGCAATGTATGTCTATGTATGTCTATGTATCTATGTGTCTACGTGTCTATCTATCTATCTACCTACCTATCTATCTATCTATCTATCTATCTATCTATCTACCTGTCTGTCCGTCCGTCCGTCTGTTTGTCCGTCCGTCGGTCTGTCTCTCTCTCTCTCTCTCCCTGGAGCTTAGTCAAAAGCAAACTGTGATGTATCTATTTAATCTATCAATCTACAGTAATTCAATCTATACCTCTCCAATTCTATATTTCTATACAGCAGTATGCATATCAAAGTCAGGCAACAGTAAGTATCACGCCACAAGGCTGCAGCATGCCCCTTTGTCAGTCTCCTAGGCGCCTGCCAGTAGCTGCACTTCTCGCAAGTCTTCATGCAATTGGTGAAGCTCACCACGTTTGGACCCCATTCCTCGCGAAAAGATGTCATGAGCCATGGGAAACCTGCCATAAACCTACCAGGACTGTAGTGATTTTGGGGATGGTTTAGCATTGGGTTGACCACAATTATATACTCAAGCCTCTGTTGTTCTTTATATTGGATGGTAAGATTTCCCGGAAAGGATTATAACAACCCCCAATGTAATTGGATATATAGTGTAACCCCATATGATCATCAATCAGCAGGGATCTTGAACACTGCTCACTTGAGGGGTCAAAACCTGGTGGAACAGCGATGTGGTCATCCATCATCCTCCATCCATGGAAAATTGGGAATTCTTCATGACATAATGGGCATAAATATGGATCCACTAAATGGGAATTATAAATGGGCATGAATATATACCATAATATCATTAATATAATGGTATATAATTCATAATAAATCCATGTTAATGAATGGACGATCATATCCCAATGACATGATGCTTGCGTCCCCGCCCATGATGCTTGCCCATTGATTCTTCGGAGCCACTACTCACTTGATACGAGTACCACCGAGTACCTGTCTTTGTTTGCATCGTAAGCTGTGTCGTATTAATCTTTGGTAAGAGTTCTTGGCTCCCTAATGTTCCCTAGCTGAAGCTAATTCATCACATAAGTTTTACAAGAGCGAGAAGCCTCCAAGGTCAGAAGGTGCAAAGCCATCTGCCAATGACCACCCTTCTCGCATGCGGCAATGCAACTGCTGTAGGCAACCACATTCGCCAAGCGTAGCTGCGTCATTTCTGCTAAGAGTTGCAAAGCCATTGTCAGCTGCCCATCCCTGGAACATGCGCTAATGGCAGCATTGTAGGTGATCTGATTTGGGGTTGCTTGTACCTCACCCATGCGCTGTAGCAGTAGCAATGCCATCTGCCAGTTCCCAACTTGTTCACAAGCACTGATCACGCCGCCAAAGCAAATGGCATTCGCTGCTAATTTCTGCTTTGGGATTTCTACTAAGAGCCTCAAAGACATCAGCCATTGCCCGCTCTTCTGGCAACTGCTGATGCAGGATCCATAGCTGATAACTGTATGCAAAATGCTCTGCCCACTCATCCTGTGCAGCAAATGCAGAGCCAAGGGCCACCTGGTTTCTCCACAACTGCTGTGGCTCACGGCATTTGGGGCGTCCATATCACAGAACAAAGTCAGTGCTTTCTGCCAATGACCTGATGCATCGCAAACACGTATGCTGCTACTGCAGCTGACCACATCTGGGAGAATGGCTGATGTCTGCATCGTCGTCAGGATGTCCAACACGGTGAACCACGGTCCAGCCTCAGAAGCCGAAGTTCGAGTTCGAGATCCGTCAATGGTGGCTATGATACTGCTGAAACTGGATGCATTCAGCGGAACTCGGCACTTGCCCATCGTTCCTAGGAGAAGTGTTGCAATGCTCCATGCCCTCATTTTCGCACAGCTCGCGACCGCGCTGTTGCAACTGACCACGTAGGGAACCTGGGAGAAGCTTGCACAGGAGAAGGCGATTTGGCAGGCTTAAAGTTTCACACATATTCACACGGGTATTGAAGCCATCAACAAAAATGAAGGCAAACTGGGGTCTTGAAAGCATGACTCTAGTAGACTCCAGTAGTTGTGCAGTTCAATCATTCAATCCCTTTTTATGATCCGCCTCCCAGTCACACCTCCCCATCCCACCCCATAGACGCTTCTGTCCAAAGATGAGCATACCCATTGTCCTGACTAAGTGAGATTCCCGTTTCGCGCTAAACGAGGCCCTGAATGTTTTGAGGCGCGTGCTATTGAAGGAATCACAAACAGTTCTTGGGAAGTTAGGCATTGATGAAGGAATGAGAGGTACCAGCAAAGCCTGCAGATCGCTGTTTCCCTTTCTAATGAGTCTGCGCATCTGTGCTGTCGTCTTGATAAACTCTGTAGCAACCCCCAAGATGATAGGTGTTTCAGGATGTTATATGATGTGTTCACCATCATAATGGTGTCCAGCTTCTATCTGCGGTTGCCCCAAAAACAACTGATGTCGCGCAAGCCCAAAGTGTGTGCACTTCGTGCTGGCCGTAAAGATTTTAGTACCCTCTGGCAACCAATCATGGCTGCCTGCGAAATCCCTTATAAATGGGCATGTAATGGATTACTCTTGAACTCTGAGCTACCAGAAGATACCAGATGGTAATTCTGGGGAAATCCACATATTCATCGTCTTGCGGAGATGCCCTCGCTTTCGGTCTGGGCTTGCAGCACTCTTAAGATCTTCTTGACTCCGCGCAGGGGCCTTTAGAACTATGATGCTGGAATGTGCTAGCAGCACATTGTGAAATACTGAAAACATACACAGACTGTGTTGAAAAGTGTTGGACTATGCAAAGCTGCAGTTGCCAGTTTGACTTGGGTCATCTCCACCAAATGCCCCAAAGCCATGTTCCAAGCTCGAGCTTTGGTTCCTGCATGTATCATAGCCCCAAAGATCTCACCATCAACTTCTAGCTGTGCATATCTCAGGTCCACACAAAGCTGCACGGCAGCTTGCCAGCTGTGAGATTCACCCAGGTTCTTGATCCTTTGTTTCCATTGAACAGCCGGGATCTCCGTCAGCCCATGGCCAGCCATGGCAGTTGCATGGGCCACGGATTTCTATGGCAGCCGCCTCCATGCCGTGATTCGGGGAACGTGGCGTCTTGGCAGCGGACAACACCCTCTCTGAAAATCTTGAGCCTTTCACATAGAAATGCAATTACTGTAATGATAATGTCATGATATATACATGTAAATACACAGTAGATAGCCGGAGGCGACTTGCAATCCAACTGAGATTAGCTAACTTGTTAATAAGTACAGTAGGTTTTTAACCCACTATATTCCAATTTTAAATAAATGTATCATCGATAATTTAAATTATATATATAGTTGATTAAATCCAGGGCCAATCTAAGTGCGCTTGCTGCGCCGTGCTGCGCCTTCTGCCACTTGGAAGGCTCAGTTGTGACAGGAGTGCCCAGTAGCACCACATCGTCCACAACGTGAAGTTCGCCCATGTCATAGAGTTCACACCTCAGTGGGATATGGATGTTCCGCATACTGAAAGCGACACACAAAAGGGTTCTGTCCGATGGCTACCTGGATCTACTTAGAATACCGTGAATACCTAGATTAATCTGTCCGAGATCAATCTAGAACAGTTAAAACGGAGGCGGTCAACCCATGATTTGTTCATCCTGCGAGACTCTAGGCGCCCCTGCAGGCAGTAGACCAAGAGTCGTGCACCTATGCAGCGGGGACGAGGCTTGAAACCGTGTTTGGCATCTTGACCGGCTAGATTCCGGCTAGATATGTAGGGAAATTGCACCGATATCTGAAGAATTTTTAAGCGCTGCTCACAGGAAGTACACGGAAGTATCATCCAAGCATATCCAAGTATCATCCACATCCTAAATGCCTGAGATGATTGGCACGTCTTGTGCTTTTAGCCCTGAAGCTCCTGATAGCTCCTGACCTCACGCAGGGATCACAAAGCCTTGCACACGTCAGGCTGAGGACTCTGCCCATGGAATGGCCAACCAGGGTAACTGGGCGCTGACCAACAGTTTGCCTGCACACAACCCAAAGATACCCAAAGCCCAAAGCATCGTCGATCCACCCCAAACAACATCAAAATCATCAAACAACCATTGTGCCTGTCTGCCAGAACGTGAGCCAGGCATTTCCCGCCAATCCGAGCACGCTCAACTCCAACAAGCCTGACAAGGGAACAACTCGCACACAGCATACATGACAGAATAACATGCGCACACCAGTCAAATCTGAAGTTCATGAAAGATATATATATATATATATGCACACACACACACATACATACATACATACATTACATTACATTACATCACATCACATCACATTACATTACATTACATTACATACATACATATATATATACTGGGTACTGATGAGTTAGGACTTGTGGCCCCGGATGAGTCAGGACTTGCTGGGGTCTAGTCCTATCTCTTGTGTCCACTGTTTGAAGCGCTTATGGGGAATTGGCTAGAATAGCCACATGGGTTAGGAGTTTTGGTACCTGGGATTTGCCAAAACTCCCAACTCATGTGCGCTGAACCCGCTCTGAGACCTGAATGCAAGTCTGAAAAAAAACACCTTGATAAATGATCGGGACTTCATGTTTTGTGACAGCAGCAAGGGCTGATGAGATAGGAAATTACAATGGTTCTAGAAAAAACAAGTCCTATCTCACATGCGTTCAGTGGCCCATCTTTTTGCCTAGTTACACCCATGTGCCAATAGATTTCCCGGATCAACCCCCACAAGTCCTATCTCACCTGCTTTTAGTGGTCAAGGTTTTTCCCTTGCTGCACCCATGTGCCATTAGATTTCCCAGGTCAAATCGTCAAATCCCCACAAGTCCTATCTCATCTGCTTTGTAGTGGTCGCTATTCAGCGTTTTTTCATTTTACATTATTTTCCTGTTGTGTCTCCCGTTGTGTCTCTCCGTTGTGTCTCCCCGGGGCGGCGTTTGCAACTGCTGACCGTCCAGACCGCTCTGAGCAGTGAAGCTGTGGGTGCGAGCAATTCCAAGCGCCTCCCCGGTGAGACACAACGGGTGCCATAGATTTCCCAAGTCAAAGCGTCAAATCTCCACAAATCCTATCTCATCTGATTTTAATGGTCGCTACTTTTCCCTTCCCATGTGCCATAGATTTCCCAAGTCAAAGCGTCAAATCTCCACAAGTCCTATCTCATCTGCCTTTAGTGGTCGCTATTTTTCCCTTGCCGCGCCCACGTGCCATTACATTTCCCAGGTCAAATCATCAAATCCCCACAAGTCCTATCTCATCTGCTTTTAGTGGTCGCTATTTTTCCCTTGCCACACCCATGTGCCATTAGATTTCACAAGTCAAATCGTCAAACCCCCACAAGTCCTATCTCATCTGCTTTGCAGTGGTCGCTATTCAGCTTTTTCTCAGTTTACATCATTTTCCTGTTGAGTCTCCCGTTGTGCCTCTGCGTTGTGTCTCCCCTGGGAGGCGTTTGCAACTGCTGACTGTCCAGCCCGTTCTGAGCAGTGAAGCTGCGGGGGCGAGCAGTTCCAAGCGCCTCCCCGGTGAGACACAACGGGTGCCATAGATTTCCCAAGTCAAATCGTCAAATCTCCACAAGTCCTATCTCATCTGCTTTAGTGGTCGCTATTTTTCCCTTGCCACACCCATGTGCCATTAGATTTCCCAAGTCAAATCGTCAAACCCCCACAAGTCCTATCTCATCTGCTTTGCAGTGGTCGCTATTCAGTTTTTTTCATTTTACATCATTTTCCTTGTTGTGTCTCCCGTTGTGTCTCTCCGTTTTGCCTCCCCGGGGCCGGCGTTTGCAACTGCTCACCGTCCAGCCCGTTCTGAGCAGTGAAGCTTTGGGGGCGAGCAGTTCCAAGCGCCTCCCCGGTGAGACACAACGTGTGCCATAGATTTCCCAGTCAAATCGTCAAATCCCCACAAATCCTATCTCATCTGCTTTTAATGGTCGCTATTTTTCCCTTCCCATGTGCCATTAGATTTCCCAAGTCAAATCGTCAACCCCCACAAGTCCTATCTCATCTGCTTTGCAGTGGTCGCTATTCATGTTTTTCTCATTTTACATCATTTTCCTGTTGTGTCTCCCGTTGTGTCTCTCCGTTTTGCCTCCCCGGGGCGGCGTTTGCAACTGCTCACCGTCCAGACCGTTCTGAGCAGTGAAGCTGTGGGGGCGAGCAGTTCCAAGCGCCTCCCTGGTGAGACACAACGGGCGCCATAGATTTCCCAAGTCAAATCGTCAAATCTCCACAAGTCCTATCTCATCTGCTTTCAGTGGTCGCTATTTTTCCCTTGCCACACCCATGTGCCATTAGATTTCCCAAGTCAAATCGTCAAACCCCCACAAGTCCTATCTCATCTGCTTTGCAGTGGTCGCTATTCAGCTTTTTCTCAGTTTACATCATTTTCCTGTTGTGTCTCCCGTTGTGCCTCTCCGTTGTGTCTCCCCGGAGAGGCGTTTGCAACTGCTCCAGCCCGTTCTGAGCAGTGAAGCTGTGGGGGCGAGCAGTTCCAAGCGCCTCCCCGCTGAGACACAACGGGTGCCATAGATTTCCCAAGTCAAAGCGTCAAATCAACACACATACTATCTCATCTGCTTTTGGTGGTCGCTATTTTTTTCACTGGCCGCGCCCATGTGCCACTAGATTTCCCAGGCCAAATCCCCACAAGTCCTATCTCATCTGCTTTGCAGTGGTCGCTATTCATGTTTTTCTCATTTTACATCATTTTCCTGTTGTGTCTCCCGTTGTGCCTCTCCGTTGTGTCTCCCCGGGGATGCGTTTGCAACTGCTGACCGTCCAGCCCTTTCTGAGCAGTGAAGCTTTGGGGGCGAGCAGTTCCAAGCGCCTCCCTGGTGAGACACAACGTGTGCCATAGATTTCCCAAGTCAAATCGTCAAATCTCCACAAATCCTATCTCATCTGCTTTTAGTGGTCGCTATTTTTCCCTTGCCAAACCCATGCGCCATTAGATTTCCCAAGTCAAATCGTCAAACCCCCACAAGTCCTATCTCATCTGCTTTGCAGTGGTCGCTATTCAGCTTTTTCTCATTTTACATCATTTTCCTGTTGTGTCTCTCCGTTTTGCCCCCCTGGGGCCGCGTTTGCAACTGCTCACCGTCCAGACCATTCTGAGCAGTGAAGCTGTGGGGGCGAGCAGTTCCAAGCGCCTCCCCGGTGAGACACAACGGGTGCCATAGATTTCCCAAGTCAAATCGTCAAATCTCCACAAGTCCTATCTCATCTGCTTTCAGTGGTCGCTATTTTTCCCGTGCCACACCCATGTGCCATTAGATTTCCCAAGCCAAATCGTCAAACCCCCACAAGTCCTATCTCATCTGCTTTGCAGTGGTCGCTATTCAGCTTTTTCTCATTTTACATCATTTTCTTGTTGTGTCTCCCGTTGTGTCTCTCCGTTTTGCCTCCCCGGGGCCGCGTTTGCAACTGCTCACCGTCCAGCCCGTTCTGAGCAGTGAAGCTTTGGGGGCGAGCAGTTCCAAGCGCCTCCCCGGTGAGACACAACGGGTGCCATAGATTTCCCAAGTCAAATCGTCAAATCCCCACAAATCCTATCTCATCTGCTTTTAATGGTCGCTATTTTTCCCTTCCCATGTGCCATTAGATTTCCCAAGTCAAATCGTCCAACCCCCACAAGTCCTATCTCATCTGCTTTGCGGTGGTCGCTATTCATGGTTTTCTCATTTTACATCATTTTCCTGTTGTCTCTCCCGTTGTGTCTCTCCGTTTTGCCTCCCCGGGGCGGCGTTTGCAACTGCTCACCGTCCAGACCGTTCTGAGCAGTGAAGCTGTGGGGGCGAGCAGTTCCAAGCGCCTCCCCGGTGAGACACAACGGGTGCCATAGATTTCCCAAGTCAAATCGTCAAATCTCCACAAGTCCTATCTCATCTGCTTTCAGTGGTCGCTATTTTTCCCTTGCCACACCCATGTGCCATTAGATTTCCCAAGTCAAATCGTCAAACCCCCACAAGTCCTATCTCATCTGCTTTGCAGTGGTCGCTATTCAGCTTTTTCTCAGTTTACATCATTTTCCTGTTGTGTCTCCCGTTGTGCCTCTCCGTTGTGTCTCCCCGGAGAGGCGTTTGCAACTGCTCCAGCCCGTTCTGAGCAGTGAAGCTGTGGGGGCGAGCAGTTCCAAGCGCCTCCCCGGTGAGACACAACGGGTGCCATAGATTTCCCAAGTCAAAGCGTCAAATCAACACACATACTATCTCATCTGCTTTTGGTGGTCGCTATTTTTTCCCTGGCCGCGCCCATGTGCCACTAGATTTCCCAGGCCAAATCCCCACAAGTCCTATCTCATCTGCTTTGCAGTGGTCGCTATTCATGTTTTTTCTCATTTTACATCATTTTCCTGTTGTGTCTCCCGTTGTGCCTCTCCGTTGTGTCTCCCCGGGGAGGCGTTTGCAACTGCTGACCGTCCAGCCCTTTCTGAGCAGTGAAGCTTTGGGGGCGAGCAGTTCCAAGCGCCTCCCTGGTGAGACACAACGTGTGCCATAGATTTCCCAAGTCAAATCGTCAAATCTCCACAAATCCTATCTCATCTGCTTTTAGTGGTCGCGATTTTTCCCTTGCCAAACCCCTGCGCCATTAGATTTCCCAAGTCAAATCGTCAAACCCCCACAAGTCCTATCTCATCTGCTTTGCAGTGGTCGCTATTCAGCTTTTCTCATTTTACATCATTTTCCTGTTGTGTCTCTCCGTTTTGCCCCCCGGGGGCCGCGTTTGCAACTGCTCACCGTCCAGACCATTCTGAGCAGTGAAGCTGTGGGGGCGAGCAGTTCCAAGCGCCTCCCCGGTGAGACACAACGGGTGCCATAGATTTCCCAAGTCAAATCGTCAAATCTCCACAAGTCCTATCTCATCTGCTTTCAGTGGTCGCTATTTTTCCCTTGCCACACCCATGTGCCATTAGATTTCCCAAGTCAAATCGTCAAACCCCCACAAGTCCTATCTCATCTGCTTTGCAGTGGTCGCTATTCAGCTTTTTCTCAGTTTACATCATTTTCCTGTTGTGTCTCCCGTTGTGTCTCTCCGTTTTGCCTCCCCGGGGCCGCGTTTGCAACTGCTCACCGTCCAGACCGTTCTGAGCAGTGAAGCTGTGGGGGCGAGCAGTTCCAAGCGCCTCCCCGGTGAGACACAACGGGTGCCATAGATTTCCCAAGTCAAATCGT